AGCATGGATTCATTGCATGTTCCTGGCCTGTGACAGTGCTCAATCAGCTCACAGTTTAGAACTGTAGTTCTGAAAATGTGGCCCATGGACCACATTAACTTCTAGGAGGTGCTTAAAAAAACAAAGGCTCACAATACATCAGACAGCTGTGCGATCCTAGCAGGTGGTTTGGATGCATGTTCAAGTTGAACACTAGATATGGCCTTATTTGGTGGGGGTCATGTGCTAGTTCTCCCCCCGTGTGTGAGTGTGTGAGTGTGAGTGTGTGTGAGGGTGTGTGTGTCCATGAGTGTGGGTGTATGGGTTGCTAACCATTTGCTCTAAGCACAGGGCTTTTGATAAAATAGGAAAATTGTATGAGTCTTTTACAAAATGAAACATGATGAAGTTGTCCTTCAGAATTAGTGGGAGATGAGTTCCAGGGTTCCCCCACACATACCAAAATGTGCTTCAATTTCCTTTATGAAATTGTCTGGAGAGATGGCTCAGCAGACAAAAGCACTTGCTGCTCCTTCAGAGGGACTGAATTCAGTTCCTATCACCCACGTCAGACAGCTCACATTACCTATAACTGCAGTTCCAGGACATCTGGTGACCTCTCCTGGTCTCTGTGGACACTTGCCCTTACATGGCACAAACACACACACACACACACACACACACACACACACACGCACACTCATACATATCTTTAAAAAGATATGTATCTTTAAAAAGCATAAAACAACAAAGAAATGCAGAGATGAAATAATGCATGCTCCTGTCAATATATAAGGCAATTCCTCATTATATTGTGTATATGAATTAAAATGCTATGCTGAACCTTACAGATAAGTGTAATCTCTATGTGTCTATTCAAAGTCAAAATATATTCTAAAATAATATTACACCAAGTTGTTATAATGTATTATTTAGAGAAAAATCCCTACACACAGTTACAGGTGTGTTTTTTTCCAAGTGTTTTCAATCCCAGGGTGACTGAATCTAAGAATCTGGAATCCACGGATATGGGGGGAGCTGTTTAACATGATATTTGACACATAGAAAATGTTAAATATTTGAATAAATAAACAGAGCTACTCATACCTTTTCACTTCCAACTCGTACAATCAAGAATGCTGGGAGAGACTAGAGGAGGGAGCCTAGGACTGAATGAGACTTCAGTGACAATTGCCAGAGGCAGGAAAGGAGACCCCACTCCAATGAGCATCACCAGCTTGGAGAGGAGAACATAGAACAGAAACCTGAGAAGCATCATTATCCATGGAAGCTTCTGTTTCTAGGTGTTGGCAAAGTAGAACAGACTAAGTGGAACTCTGATTTCAGTGCTGTCGTACACAGCATACAGTCAGAGCTTGTCAGCGGCTTTCCTCCTGGTCTCCCCTCCAGGCCACCTCTTACCCTGCTTGATGCACCATCTAATGCTCAAATGCAGGGGGCACCTGCAATGTTCTCCTCGGGCCAAGAGCAGCTCTTCCTTCTAATCTGACCGCACAGTTGCCCCCTCCTTCTGAAGACCTGTTCTCATGCCTTTCCACCCCTACCACGGACATCTGTAAGTTTCTCCATTGTATCAGCTCCAAATCTATCCTGGCTACAGAAGCAGCATTAGGTCCAGGCATTTGGTGGCTCTCATGGTGGTTTTATGAATGGCGTATACATGCAGAGGCACTTACTGAATGCCTCAGACCAGCCACCTGGTTTCACCATGATTCTGCTCTCACACTCTTATCAAAACAGAGACAAACCTGAAGCTTCTCAGAGCCAGGATTTTGGTCTGATGAACTACTCTCTAAGATGCTGTAGTCTTCCTTTTAGAGGATGTACAAGATCAAGGACATAACCCACTGGCAAGCTACCAAACTTCTCCCTCCAGACCAACACAGGCTCAACTGAGTGGCCTCAGGGACCCATGCACATCTAGGCAGTGTTCTGGAACCTTTTGATTCTGGGGACAATGTAATGTTATGTTTTGGTTTTAAGGAGAAAGACATAATTTTGTAAATACATTCATCCTATGATGGGGAATGTACTGTGTATGTTTATCTTATTGATTGTTACATAAAATACTGTTTGGCCAATGACATAGCAAGTTAGACGGGACTAGGAGTCAAAGAGGATTCTGGGAAATGTAGTAGAGAACTGTGATCCAGGCAGGAAGTGACATAGCAAGGAGACTCATATTTAAGAAAAGGAGAAACAGGAAGGACCCCTCTTTTCCCCTCCGCTCCTGCTCCAGCGGCACGATGTGATCCACCGACAAGGAGGGATGCCAATACGGTGTTCGATAAGATACATCTTATAACATATATAGCTTTATGATAGTCAAGACTGAGCTAACAGATGAGAATCCTAGTCATTGGCCAAGCAGCTTTAAACCTAATACAAGTTTCTGTGTATTCATTGGGCGGGTGGCTGGCGTTAAGCACACACGTGGCGGTGGAGCTCAGTCGGCTTTTGGCGGAAAGATTTATTGTAACAATCCTAGACCTCGCTTTGCAGTGATTGCATTTACTGTCATTGAAACAATCCTTTACACTCTTAGAAGGGCCTCTGGCTGGGAAATTCATGGGTAGCACTGGCCATATTGCCCTTGACTCAAGCAGCTATCAGCACCAAACCTGAAGTTACCTGTGGCCTTCATAAGGCACTGGTTAACATATTATATTTTGAATGGCCCATTGCAGTGGGGAATGTCATCATTCACATGTCCAATTTGTCTCACCTCAAACTCATCTTGACATAAGATGCAGGGTCCCCTGAGTAATATGCACTCTGCATATTATGCATACTGAACCCATGCCCATGGCTGGACCCCAGTCAGGGGCTCTCAGGTTGCTCTGACTCATCCCAGAAATCTGGAGAAGGAGACTTGGAAGGGTTGCAGGCCATTGGTAACTCAGTGGTCTCCCAGAAATTATAGATGGCAGAAGGACCCAAATGAAGCTGTCGCTGGTATGGAAAGCGAGCAAACAGTTCAATGGGAAGAACTGAGCGGGGAAGGCCACAGCAGGATCTGTGGAGTCATTTCAAGACCCAATATTTTATTTTGCTATTCATATAATTATATTCTACCATGTTTCAAAAGAATTTGACATGGCAAGCAAAGCACTAAATCTGAGATCAGTTGGAGGTATTTACACCACCTACAGCAGCTTAGTAGGGCTCGCTTAATTTCACATACATCCCTTCCTGGAGAAAGGACTAAGATGACCTGTGTTGGTAGGCATGGCCCTGCCTCACCTGACTAACCAGCAGGGGCAGCTGTGTATGCACATGTGGTAGGGTGCATGGAGCACCTCTGAGGACAGGGTGTGAGGATGCTGACAGATTTCTGTGAACTCCCCATATCTCTTTCTTACTCACCCACTTACTCTTACTTACTCACTGGATGCTCTTGCAGGTCACTCAGACCACAATGCTGTCATTGCAGCCCTCTTGAGATATTGCCCAGGCTTCCCAAGCCTCTGGGGCCACCTGAGCAGAGGCCCATGGAATTGGGCATTGGCAGTTTTCACTCAGGACAGCCTGGAAGCAGAAGCTGCTACACACCCAACACCCCTTCCTCAGAGCTGGACTCACTGACGGGCTACACAGACAGCAGAACACCCCACAGCTCCAGGTGGATGTGGTGGTTGGGTAGGGGTGGTGTGCACAGTTCCTCATCTTAGCTGTACTTCTCAGAACACTACCTTACTGCTTCTCAGTTCACTCTCCTCTTAGCTTTGGCAGCTTTATAGTCCATGTGGTGAGGCTCCAGCCAGTGTCATTCCCCAGGAACTGGCTGATGGGATTGTGGTGTATCTGCCTCATATTGGATCTGTATTCCTCCTTTAAAAAAATGCCCAGCCCCACACTTCAGGAATAACCACCAAAAGTAAGGCAAAAATCATGCCAATGTTATCCACAGTAGAGTCATTGGGGGTGGCTGTTTGCGACATGGCTGCTGGGAGATAGCCTTATATCCTACAAACATGCAAAGGAGATCATTTGGCCCATCTGGGTCCTCTTGAACTGTGAACCTCCTGAGAAATTCTCTAACTGATTATGTCAAATCTCCTGTTTTTATTGTCCCCACTAAAAGACCTGTTCTTGTCACTCAAGACAAAAACTGCCACAGATCCCTGCCAACCAACTAGGCTAGGGGTATGAGGAAACTCTAGGGAGATTACTCTACCATCTTGGAACCCACCCCATTTTGATGTTAATCCAGAGTAGGGATTTACAGAGTGGATAAAGGAACAATTGGTATTTTGGAATGGGTGACATTCAGTTTTCTCAGATATCACTGTACCTTTAATTTATTAGCTTTCCATAAAGACACAAAACACTCACAATCTACAGTATACAAAGTATAATTTACAAAAATATAAAATCTTGGTTACTTTTTAGTATTTCAACATATTACTGTATGTGTTATTTCCATATGCATGTTCAAACAGCCCACGTGTAACCTGCACTATTACCTCTGTGGGGAATGGGGTTAACTCTCTTGCTTTTGTTTTAAAAGCATATTGCATGTATAAAAGTGTGTGTAGCGAAAATGTGGGAGAAAACACTCATTCATGCCAAAATTGAGGCCCTGTTTCTAGTATGTAGCCTGAGGGTTGTAAATGAGCACTTAAATTGCTATAGGTGTGAGTACCCCAATATTTGCATAGTCTTTCCAGGTTTTGAGATGATGAATGCATGGAATCAACATTGTGGATACATGCTGTTTCCAGGCTTTGAAAAATGTGGGTAGGACTGATGGGCAAACTTCAGACCACAGTTAATTCCAGATACTTTCCAGGAACTCAGAAAGTCTTTACAGAGCTACCACTAGCAAGGAAAAGCTGAGGAACGATGATGGCACTGTGTACAGATCTTTCTAGGTCCCAGCAGGGTTACCTACAAGCTCTGCCTAGCACCTGGAACTGCCCCAAGTCAAGTCCTGGCTCCAGGAATGCCACTCCGCAGGGCAGGGGTGAAGCAGGACTGTCTTCCACCTTGTAACCATCTCACCGACAGGCACAGGTCTCTACAGACATGTTGGGGTACACCTTCAGAACCGCATTCCGATTCTCATCCAGGAAAAGGACTCCAAGGGAGTTCATCTTGTCTGGAACACAACAGGGCTCTGGGATGCCAGGGACAATGCCCACAGCTCTGACGATGCTCTGGATGGTGGCATGATTGGATGGGCGGACAATCTGCAAGATGAGAAAAGACAGCTGAGAGCACAGGACTTAATGCTGCTTCTCGAATAAGGCCATGCAAGGGCTGGCCTGGAAGAAGAGGCTTCTGTCCAGAGCTGGACACATGTTTCCTCTGAAATCAGCTACTGGCTCAGTCCTGGTGCCCCTAGGTGCCCACTTACCTCTAGTCTGTTACTAGAAACCAGCCACTTGGGGGCGCCTGCATGTCACCTTCCTAGGAGCACCTGGAGCTGAGCTGGAAGGAAGCTTTTGCAAGCCAAGAGCCATGCCTCAGCCAGCAGACATGCCTCCGGAGCAACCCTGGCTAAAACTGAAATGATATGTTTAGTGTGGCTCAGGCTGCAGACAGGCATTTCAATATGCACTTGACTTGGGGTGACAGGTGCAGCATTAGGCCATTGTCTCATCTTGGCATGTTATTAATTTATATGGACAATATGGCCTTCATTTTACTGACACAGATACCAAGGCTTAAAATGGCTAAGAAACATGATCAAGATGCCTCAGTTAGAAAGTGGCTTGGCTTGGAAACTGGCCACTTCTGAAAAGATGAACACAGACAGCCAGGTCATGGGTTTCAGCTCTTGGCTGGCCGATCAGAGGTGTAGCTGACAAGAAGCCACATGTTGTTGCAGTGGAGGTGGGGAGAGGCAGCAAGAGAAGGGCATGAGCACCTATGGGTGTGGGGCTCAGCTGGCGTTCTGAAAGTGGGGGGACAACAAGCCAGTCTGATGAAGTTAGCAGTTGTAAGACCACATCTGCCCACGCAAAGTGGATCACCTCTCTCTAACGGCTGCATCCCTTCCTCTCTCTTGTACTAGCATGGATTTGAGGAGAAGCCCCTTAATTCCAGACAGATTATATAGCCCACATCTGGGCCTTGGATTTCCCACGGTTATTGAGGTTCTCGATTGGATTTATGTCCCGACTTTCTTTCTTGGAAGACATACCACAGAGGAGTCTGCAGAGTTAACTAAGTAAGGAAAACTGCTGTGGGTGCTGAGGGGTGACATGGGCAGCCTATTGCAGCACAGGTGGCAAGAGGATGGATGGAGTTAAGTCAGCCTGGGGGAAGGTGAAAACTCAGGGCAGGAAGATAAAATAGTCCAGGACTATGTATCTTTCAGACCACTGTGCACTGTGAAGGCTGGTTAGGCTGTTGGATGCACCAAACCAGGGGGAACCCACTGGGAGAGCACTGACACCAAAAGCAGTCTGATCACCCAGAGTCCTGTCCCTATTCAGACCAGAACAGGAGAGCCTTAGTCAGGAGGGAATGTGGAATACCTGCCTTGTCCACAAGGAGGCAGCACTGACTCAGCCTCCAAAGACATCTGCTCTGTGGGAATGTCCTCTCTATGCCTTTAGGAAGCGATGCCTTGCTTTAAAAATCCCAATTCAGTAGGACCACAACACAAACCTAGTACATGAGCTAGCTGTGGGATGCCATGCTCGGCCTTAATTCATGGGAGAGGGACCTGGCTCTGCCCCAAACTATTGTGCCAGACTATGTTCACTCCTTATAGGAGCCCTTACTGGTTAGGAGGTGAAGGGGGAGATGGTGTGGGAGGGAGAACTGTGGTTGGGATATAAAATAAAATTTAAAAAGAAAAAAATGGCAAAAAATTAAAAAAAATTTAAAAAATCCCAATTCAAAGTGGTGCATGTCTTTAATCCCAGAAGCTGGAAGGCTAAACAGGAGGTCTGAAGTCAGTCTGAGAAACGTGCAAAGAGACGGTCTCAGGAAAAAAAAAATCAAAGCCAATGTTTACAAAAGCACCACCAAACCAATTAAACCCTATCAGGCTGTGGGGGCACCTCTGGCTGTCTATTCCTGCCTCTGCAGACAGGAGATGTGTCATCTCCATTTTGTGTATGATGAAACAGGTCAGGCAAACAGAGGGATGGCCAACAGGGCAGAACCAAGTCAGTATGAGACAAGATCAGAACACAGAGGTGGTACCTTGGGCATGGGGAACTCGCAGGCCCCAGCGCAGTAGTAGGCATCGAAGGATTTCGGTGAGATGATCCATTCATTCCATCCAATGTCTGCAAAGTCCACTTTCAGGTACCGCCTGGAGCAGACCCGTGGCTCATCCCACTGCCTCCTCCTGGCTTTCTGCATCGTCTTCTCATCAAAGTCCAGCACCTGTGAGGAGGTGGAGAATGTTTCCTGTTCCTTCTTCTTGCGGTCTTTGCGCCCGGTGCGAGGTTTCAGTGCCCGGAAAGGGCTGGGCCAGAACTCGTGCTTGTGGTAGTGCTGGGCAGCATGCAGGGCAGGCGCTGGTCTCTCATCCACTCCTGGCAGTTCATTGTCCTGCAGGGGCCCGGAGACCTGAGCTGCCCGGCGCACACGGGGGTCCGCTGAGCTGTTGGGGGCAGCTCGAGGCTCAAGGTCTCCAGTTGGAAAGGGGTCGTATCTCTGCAGCGTCACTGCCACACTGTTGGGCTCTGAGATGGCCAGGTCATTGGCATAGACAAGGATATAGGGCATGTGGGGGCTGGGGCTGGGTATCCCGGAGTCTTTCTCCCCAGAATCCAGCTGGGCAGAGAGGAGCAGTTCTCCATCTCTTCGGGCAGCCTTGACGATCGATGAGATGTCCTTGGCCTGCCACAGCCCACGTGGTGGAGGTGCCAGGGCCATGGCCCCGCGGAGCAGCCCCTGAGTAGCGGTGTTCTGTGAGAGGCTGCGGAAGATTAAGTGCAAACGTGCTGGTGGACCTGGGGTCAGGAGGCGGCAAGATGCATTCTTGGCTCGTGGCTTGCAGAAAACCTCACGTGTCCGAGGCCACCGTGGGGGTTCTGAATAGAAGTGGAAGGTGGCTGTGAGGATCATTTCTGAGTCTTGCATGGAAGTCAAGTTGAAGAAATACACAGGCTTCTTCTGGTCGACCACCTCTGTAATGGAAAGGCAGACCATAACCTGTTAGATTTTCTCTTGAAGTGCATCCTGTTCTTGGGTTTCTGCCAAGAACTGGGGACGTGGAACAACCTTTCCTCGACTCCTGGCGTCCTCACATTGAAGGCACGAGGGTTTCCTTTGATACCCTCAATGAACTTGCACAGTTGAGATCCAAAGGTGGGAATTGTCACCATCCCATTGAGAAGAATGAAGGTGAAACCAGGAGGGAAGGAGGAAGAGAGGGAGACCGAGAGAGAAAAAGAGGGGAGGGAAAACAGAGGGTGATGATCAAGTCTGTAAGACACTAAAGCTCCTGCTGTCTCCTCCTTGCCTCCGGCTGGCTTTCAAAGAACAAAAGAGAGTCACTGACACCTTCATTAAGTGTTAGTGATGGTTTGGGTTAGATCCAAGACCTGCCTCAAGGCAGCTGGTCCAGTATTTATTTGCACACCAATCTATACTATGCAGTTTTTAAAAGGCAACTTGTGTTAAATGTGATCATTCTTCTAGATGAAGTGAAAAAAGGAGATCTTCATTATTTTTTGCTGCAGTCTTAGTACCTTTTAAGGTAATACAGGATTAAGGCCACAGTTGTTTGCTGTTTGTTCTGTCCCAGGATTTGTATAAAAAATTACAGTCAGGTATAGTGGTTCATGCCTTTAATCCCAGCACTTGGGAGGCAGAGGCAGAGGCAGAGAGGCAGAGAGGCAGAGAGGCAGAGAGGCAGAGAGGCAGAGAGGCAGAGAGGCAGAGAGGCAGAGAGGCAGAGAGGCAGAGAGGCAGAGAGGCAGAGAGGCAGAGAGGCAGAGAGGCAGAGAAGAGAGGCAGAGAGAGAGGCAGAGAGAGGCAGAGAGAGGCAGAGAGAGGCAGAGAGAGGCAGAGAGAGGCAGAGAGAGGCAGAGAGAGGCAGAGAGAGGCAGAGAGAGGCAGAGAGAGGCAGAGAGAGGCAGAGAGAGGCAGAGAGAGGCAGAGAGAGGCAGAGAGAGGCAGAGAGAGGCAGAGAGAGGCAGAGAGAGGCAGAGAGGCAGAGGCAGATTTTTCAATGAGATAGCAATATGGGCACTACAGTTTGTCACTCTACTTCAAGGCTCACATTGCTGTCTGGAGACCAACACTCCAACTGAGGAAGGCCAGGCACATTCAGCAGTCATGTATATTTGGAGAAAGCTTCTGTTTTTGCTTTCCAGGGGCAGCTGGAAGCCCTTTCTTTCTCGCCTGGTTCTACCAGGTGTTCCCCAGTGTCACCTACAGCCTCAGCCTTGACAATGGAAACTCTCAGCAATGAAGATGTCTAGGATTCAGAAGGAGAACAGGTCTTTTTTGTCACTGCCACCTCAGCATACTGCAGACTAGGATCTACATTCTAGATCCTAGTGGCTGGGTGGACTTCATCCAGCTGAAGGTCTATCTGCTTGATATAGCTGGGAACGGATCAGGGCTTGTAAGCCCAGGGTATTGTACAGGGAGGGGCATTACACTCTCCAAGATACAGGCTGCCTGTCTATATGACACCTACATCCAGAGGATGAGCTGGGATCATTTTTCAAGAACCACTGGTTTAGGACCAGAAAGGGGCTCAATGGTTAGAGCACTTGTTGCTCTTGTAGAGGGCCCAGGTTTGATTTCCAATACCTACCCGATAGCTCACAGCTGTCTGTAACTTTACTTCCAGAGGATCTGATGTCCTCCTCTGGTCTACTTGAACACCAGGCATGTATAATGTACATATCCACTGGCACACAAACAGAAAGTAATAGTAAAAAATAAAAATTTTAAAAAATTCTCAAAATATCTACCCACTGGATATTGTGTTTCTATTGGGAAGGAAGCATAACTCTATTGGGAATAGTCATGCCCTCTTAATGGACCTCACAAAGTATAAAGAAAGTGGACACATCTATAGTAGGCTAAGTAGAGGCTGATGCTGTTCCTTACCTGGTCCCATGCACCACCACCACACAGGCACATCAGCCCTTTTGTGTGCTCTGTGTGTGAACTGATGCCGGGTCTTTAAACCTGGCCAGCCTCCCCTAACTCTGTGGCTTTAAGCATCATGACTTGGAGGCCCACATCCTAACTGACCCATCTGGGGGTTATGGCTATTGCGGAAGCTGAAGAAGCACTCACAGAAGAGGAGGTGTGCAAATATGCAGAACCTTGCAGCTGGAAACTACAGGGAGGTGTCCCTGCTCTTGGCTTCAGCCTGGGGCTCATGCACAGCATGAATGTAGACGCCTTCTGCCTCCCACTCGCTGACCTGCATATAGGGAAGCTCACTATCTTCATGCAGCACACACCTCTGAGCTGGAAAACACCTTAGGAAAAAAGATCAGAGCCCTAGAGGAGAACACCATATGCTAAGCCTTATTCTTTCATTAGTCACATAGGAAATCCAGAACCCTCAGGTACTGTGATCCTTGCTGGACTGAAGAAATGGCACACGCCATGCGCTTGGCATAGGGATGGTCACAAAGGTACTTCCCTGCATTTTCATTTAAAGGATAAAGGATGGCAGAGCAAAGGTTTCCTATACAAACTCAAACATGCTCACCCACCACTCAGTCTCTGTAACATCTGACTTGGAAGCTTTTGTTTACCTTTAATCTAGTTCAGGCATTTCCTCATCAATTATCCTGCTCATTGGTCCAGAGTGGAGAGGAGCCTCCAGAGGCCAGATGAGAAGGAAGGATTCTACTACACTTGGCTTGCATGCATTTAGATAGAGGGAGTTCACACCTCACTGGACAACTTTCTCGAAAAGTTTCTCCCTGGTGGGAGATGCTGAGGTCCAGATGGGTCACCCCCAAGCCCAGAGTGGGGGTCCATGTATGCATATGCCTGCATGGATGCAATGCAGGAGCTCCAGGCTGTGGCTGAGAGTGGAGGCATCTCTGATGTTTCCAGCTAAGTGGGGCATAGGGCACTAAGGAGAAAAGAAGTCTCGCTGCCCTATATATTGTGCTAGAGCATTATGGCTCCTGTCTCACAGCCAATGAGAAGACAGCCTTCCTCCTCCTCTCCTTTATTTATCCATCTGGTTTCCCAATAAACATTTGCAAAAAGCCTGTGCTGGCTAAGTGATGGGCTGCTTGGAGTTCTGGCAAAGGCAGTTGAAGGTGCTTGAAAGCCTCTTGGGAACACAGAATGGTAATGATCCCAATTATTCTTAGGGTCTGGTCACATTACAGTCTAAACAAGGTACCATATTATGGGAGCATTCAAATTGCATACCACTCCCGTTCAGATCCTTGCCACCTAAATACTCCATTCTTTACTAAGCTACCCACCCCCAGCTTCCTGCCAACTTCCCCAACTACATCTATCCTCCCCACCCCCAGTTCCCATCTACCTCTGGGCTGCTGTAGGGCATTATGCTAGTTACCTGCTCTCTCTGGCATGCCAAGAACGCCCCCCCTTTGTTAACTGAAGCAATGGAACCCACTCTGCCCCTGCCCCTTCATATCTTCTTACAGCGCAGAGTGTGCACCAGGAAGCCATCATTCACATCTGTTTCTGAGCAGCAGCTGTCACCAGGCCTGTGCTAGGATCTAGAGATACGGCATGGAGGATAGCTGGCAAAGCCTTGCACTTTAGGAGTATGTGTTCTGGAGGGATTTATAGTAATAAACAAATACATGTCAGGATGCTATGGGTGCCCTGAAGATAAAGTCAGGGTGGACAGCGCTGAGTGGGCCTTCTTTCACAGATGCCAAAAGGGACACCATATGAGCAGAGATCTGGAAAACTACTGAGTTATCAGGAGAGCAATGGAGGCAGAAGTACCAGTACTAGAACTGTCACACACAAGCACCAAAAGCATCAATATGAGAAATGAAAAGTCAATACCCTCACTTTGTAAAGAGCCTCAACAAAACCCATAGGAAGAGGTCATTTCCACGGGAAGAACTGCAATGGCTGAAGGGAACGAGAGACCTCAAGGATAGTTGCAGATGGAATACTGCATACAGAAAATACAGCTCTATTAGCTTGTTGTCTGTAGATGTATGTGTACTTTTGTGCAGGAATGAAATGATTCTACAAAATATTATTTTAACTCTGGTTCTATCTGGATGTATGATTAAGGATAATTTACATTTGTTACTGTGTTTAAAAAAAAAAACAGCCTGTCTCCCCTCCTCTTTTTTGCTGCCCCTCCCCTTTCTCTCTATGTGCCCCCAAGGTGTACATATGGGATATTGTTCCATTGTCAACAGGCAAAACTAAGGCTCTCTGGGATTGGCTGCATTCTGCTTATCTGCCTTCTCCGTTTCCTCCTAACCCAATGTCCAACAGCTCTGCTCCAACATACAATGGACTGTTTCAGTTCTGCATCCAGCCTGCCTTGCTAGGGTCCTTTCTGGCTATGAAGACCTCACTGGCCCCTCCCTGTCAGTGCCACCCTCGGGGATCCTGCAGAGCACCCTCAGCCTGTTGTTACTCAGGCCCATCCCACTGCCCTATCCTACATGCCTTACCAGTTCATGAGCTATGTTAGGTGAGACCAACATTCTATGCATCTTTGTGTCCTCCAAATGAAGTGCTTAGGAACTGTCTGATGCTGTGTTTTGCATTTGGTTTGTCTCCAAATGCAGGGCAGGGCATTTGGTCTCCAATGTGGCGATATTTAGAAGTACTGGGACCACTAAGGGGTGGCATCTAATGGGTAAATGTTAGTCACTGGAGATACTTCTCTCATTAGATTTCACTTGGTTTCCAATTGAGGGCCTCTTACACCTGGCTGAAGGCTACCTGTTCCCCCTGCTTTCTGCTTCCCTGTCTTGCCTCGTGCTCAGTCCTTCTCACAAATTTTCTGGCCACAATGCATCTGTTACTCCATGACATAACCCAGGGTTTACCACCAGAGCCATTACCTTCTAGACACTGAAAGAGAGCTAGATAAATCCTTTTTTTCTCCTTGAGTTACTCAACTCCTGGTACAGTAACAGGATTGAGGTAATCCACTGGAGAATGAGATGAGCTTGACTTGGCAGTTTTGACAGCTGGGTATGTTTGGGAGATGATGAAAAACTATCTTGGTATCACGGTGGCAGGGGTCAAGTTTGGGATTAAACACAGATCATTTGTTGGGAGTGTGGAGGTAAATGGTGGTCTAATCTGAATTTAGGGCCAGCCTCAAAGACTTTCCTCCACAGATGCAGACAAATAGGGAACAAAGTACACTTCATGGGGGAGTGTAAGGGGACAAGGAAGGCTGGGGTGATCACAGTTAAGAGCTAATAAATTGCAAATGAGCACATACCAAGAACTGTTCAAAGTACTTGCCATATCTGAGCTCCTTTAAAAACATTATTAATCAGGAGGGGAGTCACAATTTAGAAGCAGAAAGAAACTCTTAGTCCCAAGAAGGGCAGTCTCATGGCTGGATCACAGAACTGGGATCAGGATCGTAGCTCATGTTCAGAACCCAGGCCTCGCTGTAGATGAGGATGAAGTGACTGTAACAGGTTTTGGGAGTGGGTGCATTTGCTGTCTAGCAGGATGTGCTGACCTGGGGAGGCAGCAGAAACCTGCCTCCTTGGAGACGGCCAGAATTGGTGTGCTCCAGACCAGGACTGTGGCAAGGGTCTGTGCTCACAACTCCCCACAGATGGGCCTTCAAATCAAGAGGCAGGAGCATCTGATGCTAAGTGTGGGACAAGTTAGATGAGTCAAGGCAAGGCACAAGAAACCTGACTCAATGTTAGGCACAAATCTACCTTCTAGTCAATGCTCACCCCCCTATGTACACACAAGAAAACTTGCTCAGAACAGGGAGGTGATATGTTCCATAGCACACAGCCAGTAACCGGTGAAGCTTACTCTTTAGTTCATATCAGGAATCCAAATAAAAGGTATTCTTAAATGTGTCTGTCCCACCCTGATGCTCTGCTCCAAGACTCCGGTCTTAGTTCTGATGGAGAGATGGTGTTGGTATGTGGCGGTGAGAGCAGCAACTTATTGCCTGGCACGAGCAATAACTTCCTCCCCTGTCCTTTTAGCCTTATCTGTAGAATGGGGGTGCTGGATTAAGGTGTAGTCCCCAGGCCATTTGTGGGAGTTAAAATGTCCACTGTTATTTGTACTGGGAAGTATTATCTGTTTGGTGAAAACAGACAGAACTGCACCCCGTAATGAATGGATTGTAGTATGTGCTTGTGCCCAGTGGACATGCTTGCTTCTTGTTGCAGTGGTGACCTTGATGACCTTTCTCTTACTTCAAGGCTTCGAGTTAAAGAGCAGCAAAGGTCAAGTTCAAGCCTGTATGAACACAAAGCACTTATCACAGTGCTTTTTGTTTCTGGAGTTACAGCATTTAACACCACCTAACCGTGCCAGGGCTCTGAACTTACAACTTCATTTTGTCTTTCTTCAAACCCGAAGGGGAGATACTGCTATGTGCTGCCCATTTTACAGAGTACAAACAAGCCCACATAATTTTAGTGATTTTACTCAACCATGCCCAATGCTTCTTATGTGGCTTAATTTAAGAATGCTTCTCCAGAAATGAACTCCAGGTATTGAATAAAAGGTACCATGGAGGCCAGGGTTGGCCTAGAACCTAGGAACACTGGCCTGGTTAGTGTGATGAAGGATGTGCCTCTTTGGGAGAGCCTCTCCCTTACCCATGTTATGTCTGAATCTGAAGCCACAATGTTACCCAGGGTCATGAATCCTGTGAGCAGCAGGTAGTAAGTGCTGAGCCTACACTGGTCTGCCTCAAAGTTGGCTGAGTTTTGTTCCTATCTGTCTTGGGAGAGATGACTGCCAAATCAAGGATTTCTCTTTGGGGGGAATGGCTTCCTCTCAGACAGGACTTCAGGAGACCCCTGCCCACATTTTCTGGAACAGCATTCTGAAACCATGAGCAGTCACCATGACAACCAGGGTCTTCTCACCACCTGCTTCCCAAGCTGCACTTTCTCTGTACTTAGCCCCCGGCTGGCAAAGGGCCACTCAACCTGAAGTTAGTGGGCAGGAGCTCAGAGTGACCTCTAAGAAAAGGGTAAGGAGAACATCTGCCAAGCTCAACCGTAGATGCACAGAGTGGAGAGTGGAGCATGGAGAGGGGAAGATGGTTCTGGACCTTTCTGGAAACCTGTCTTCTGAAGTCCTGGGGACACAGCCTTTCTCAGAGCACTATGTTTCCTTGCCACCTAAATCATGCTTCCTGCCTGGGATCAGTGCTTAGTACTTCCACCAGTGACCCACTGGCCATGCTCCCCTTTCATACAGCAAGTGCCAACACAACTTAACGCCACAGATCGTCCTCCAGCCATGTCCATTACCACTCTGTGTCTAAAGCCTTATGCCTGACCTTATTCCAGCAGTTGTGGAAGTTCCCAGGGGCAGGAGGTCTGCCACCCAGTGCCTCTTTGGTCCCCACTGCAAGCTCTGGCCTGGTACAGAGAACTGAGTGGATTGCCAGTGAAAGGATGGATTAAAAGTCAATACAAGAAAGGAGGGGAGAAGCAGAGCTGTAAAGGAGCAGAGAGAAAGATAAGAGAACTCTATGAATTAGGAGGACTGGGTCCCAGTGTATCCTCTACTTACCCAGCCTGGCACGGAAGCTTCGGACGGTGTTACCTCCTCCTGGCCGAGCGCCCCGTCGGTTGTACTTCTCATAGAGCCTGAGCATGTGGACAGAGACCATGTCCTGGGCACCTGGGCCCAGCGTGGCTGCTGCATCCCCAGGGGACTGCTGGGGGTCCTTGTCCTTCTGCAGACCTTCGGTGGCCGAGGGCAGTGAGGGCCATGAGGGGCCCCTGTGGCCGCAGCCTACGCCGCGCAGCAGTAGGAGCAGGGGCACCATAGGCAGCAGTTGGGACCCCAAGCTGATACGAGCAGGACCAGGAGCCATGGCTAAGTGAAGGTGGTGAAGGGTCTGAGCCCAGGAGGACAGACAGGGAGGGCTCAGTGTTGGTTGCGCACCTCGTCCGCGACTGGAGGGTCCGTGTGGGACTCGTACAGTTCGTGTAACCCGATTCGATGTAGCAGGACTGGCTCTCGGCAGCAGCGCTGTGCACGGTGCATCCACGCCACCGGGCCAGCGGTCACAGCTGTCCGGAGCCGCGTGGAGCCCAGCCGAGCCCGCGCCGGCGCGCTCCCTTGATTGCCTCACGCTGCAAACTTTGCAGCCCACGGAGCTGCGCCCGGACTGGGGAGTTAGAGGGGCGGGGCGGGGCGGGTTGGTCCCAGCGCCTTTGGAGGGGAATCCGGCTGCGTCCCCACTCGCAGCCGCTCAGAGCCCGTCTGTGGCCCCGGTGTGCTGTGCGTGCGCCCTGGTGTGCGGGCGTGCGCGCGCCGGGGTGTGCGCTCACGAGTGTGGGGGCCGTGGGCGTGGGCGTGGGCGGGCGCGCTCCTGCTCCCCCGCCGAGAGCAGGAGACCCAACCCGGCAGCCGGCTCCGGAGTGTCGCTGCCTGCAGCTGAGCCGGGGCGTCGCGGGGGCTGGGCGGCCTTTAGAGGGGGGCCCGCCTGCGGGGTTGCCACTGCAATGGCATGCTATGGTTATGTGGTTGGAAGATGACAGCTCCCCCATGAGGACCCCGGAGGGGATGCGTGCCTAGTTGTCTCTGAGTCAGTGTGTGCTCAAAATGCAAAGGTGCAGTCTTGGGAACAGGAGCTCTGGGATTTAACAACAAAAGGGGTGCGTGTGGCTCCAAAGCTCAACGGACCTAACTAAGTCAGTGGAAAGCAAGATCTTGATCAAAATACAGAATTAGAATTATCCGATTAACTGACCCTTTATTTGGCAACAGTGATTCCAGTTGTTGAAGAAATACATCAAAGGTCCTTATAAATCTTCGGACAGGATTGCTAAAAAAGAAAAAGACATGCTTTCAATTTATTTTATAAAATGTTTCAAAGCTTCAGAGAGGGAGGAGAAAAAGCCCACGGTTTTCTCAAAAAGAATTCCCAGTAAAGTGCTGGTGTAGGGCGACCCTGACCCCTGCTAGGCAGCTTAGCCCTGGAGCAGAAGGGCTCCAAAGGTACATCACTCCAGCTAAGTTACGTCCCCATAGATAGAATTCGAGGCCCTAAAGCAAAAAGCCTGGTCGACATTTTCACTAACTTTAACTGAAACTTAGCCATTTCTGATGTTATGCAAACAAGCAACCAATCCAGCGGCTAAAAGTATAGCTTTTTCACAGGTCCACACTACTCAGTAATTTTCATTTGTCAGGAAAGGTGTTCCAGATTTCCCAAAGTAAATGTTTTTTCCTAAACTACATTGAAATTACAATAATTCTTGGTCCCCTGCTAATTAAACAATTAATGAAATGGAATATTCATTATGATCAATATGCAATATGTTATTAAGTTGCTGGGTTTCTTTAAATTTTTTTATAATTATAGAGCTGTTGGTTTCCTTTATTAACCTGGGTATTTCATTTTATGCATTTGAAAACATAGTTTATTTAGGGGCAAGTGGGACCCACAGAATTCTGCAGACTGAGAAAGGAATCATAGGCCTCTAAAGTGGTTCTCAGCCTTCCCAATGCTGCGGCCCCTTAGTTCCTCATGCTGTGGTGACCCCCCCCACCCTAAAATCATTTTTTCTACTCTACAACCGTAATTTTTCCACTGTTTTGAATTTTAACGTAAATACTTGTGTTTTCCAATGGTCTCAGGTGACCGCTGTGAAAAGGTCATTCAATCAAAGGGGTTGTGAGCCACAGGTTGAGAACCACTGCTTTTGAGGGAAAGACAGGACCCCCTAGAGACCCATGTTCTTCTAGAAAGTCAGCTCACGGCTGACGTGCACATGTGTGCACGGCAATAATGTGCACACATGTAAGCCCAATGTTCCTCTTATCTGGTGACTTTGGGCTCTGGGAGCCAAAATAATTACTTTTCTTGAAGGGATCACAATGTAATTATTGAAAATTTCCTGGAAAAAGCTCCTGTCGCTGTGTAAAATAACCCACCTATTTAAGGAAAAAAAAATCTCAGACTGTCACATTGGAGCTCATCCTACCCACAGTGGAAGTGCCTAGGGCAGCGTTTATCAGGTATATAAATATACATTATACATTTTAAAATTATCGCACACTGTGTTCAACTTTTCATATGTACTTCCATTTGTGCTGTGAACTGGTTTTCCCAAAATGGTTTTCCTGGAGGTGAGAGTCTATCAAGTCCCAGGTCTGTAGCTGAATATCTCTACATAAACAGCCCAGACCATCCTTCCTTCTAAATGTCCTCCCCCATCTCACTTCACTCCTTCTCCATGTGCCCCTCACTTCCCCTTGCCCCCCTTTTCTCTTCTTCCCCAGAATGCCTCTGACCTGTGTCAGCTGGGGGTAGCCTCTGCTCAGGGGTAGCTTTGTCTCTGCTGGGGCCAAACACAATCGAGGCCTGTGAAAAGGAGGGTGAGTCCGCAGGAGGCCGCACAAGCTGGGCTATTCGGATCCTTGTCCATTAAAGCCTCCTCGCCCTCCTTAACTCATTCTGGCTCCATTCAAACCAGCTCCAGGGTCAGGCTTTAGCAGGCACTAAAACCTGTAGGGTACAGATTCTCTGACATTGTTTCGAAAGAATTAAGGCATCAGCCAGGGACGGCTAATATTTCTTGCCTCGTTTTATTGCTGAACAGCGGGACTGTAAAGTTGTGAACACTGGAACACTGTGGCCCCCTTTCATGTAGCCGATATGATGGGATAAAAATGTGTTTGGTGAAGCAATTCAGATTACCACTGGGTCACATCCTCGCTAGCTCCCAGCACAGCACTCCAAAGAGCACAGCACAGACAAGAAGCAATCTGTGCAAATGCAGCTCGTGCTGAACAGTGTTTGAGCGTGGAAATGAGGCTAATTGTGGAGCTTGCCAATGAACATGTTTTGTTTTTAATAGCTCAGGCTGTGGCTCTGAATAATAAGAATGGAGATGGCTGGCTATGGATCTAAGTCTTCCAATCCCCTACTTCCATAGCTTCCCACACAGTTACTCTGCTCTTGGGAAGACCATTCTGTTAAGATCGGGCTCTTGACCTTGTGGATTGGGATGAGGAGTGTTCTCTCTAGAGATAGGGTGGTAGTTTAGGGGATCATGGACTTCCATCCTCTGTTCCACACATTCTGGGGAAGGAGGGTTGTCTTTAACTCAGAAAATGGTGATGGGAAGTCTCACACCTCAGTACAGTAGGGGACAAACTGATAGCTCTAAGAAGCAAGAGTCATTGGGTTTCTATAAAATCACCCCCCACACAGAAGTCAAATGTCTCTCTCCTTGTTTGACAGTGCTATCCAGCTCTTCTGTGACTGAGTCAGTTTGTGATTCTAACCAGCTCTGTTGCTCTGGGGCAGCCCCACAGCTCCACTAAATCCTGGAAGTCTGGTCAACAGACTGTTTCACCTCCAGTACTGTATGCTGTGTCTGTGGCTTCAATCCAGTCTTGGAAGTGAGAGCATCTATATGACCTTGTGAAGTCACTTAGGACTAAGATCATGTCCCAGTTCCATTACTACCTGGCTGTGTAAGACCTTAAGCAACTTAATCACTTTCTCTGGGCTTCCATTTGTTCAACTCTAAACACCGACGCTGGCAGACATAGTGAGGTTTATTGTTAAGGTTCTAACGAAAGATGGTAGGCGGTTGCATTGTTGACATTACTGTTGCTTTTCCTGTGCTGGGTTTGAAAGAGGCTGTAGTGCATTAAGAGTGGACTCAGACACTGGGAGATTTGCTGAGAAGCTCTTCAGAGGAATCACTTTTGTTTGCACATTGCTAAAAGCAAAAAGGGACGGGACATGTTTCCTTGGTTAGCAAGTGTTAGCCCTCTAGAATGAGCTGTTGTTATCCGTGTGTCTATGGCATGATTCACTGCTCTTCATCTAAATTTCCAAAGCTCTTGGCCCTTAAAGGACAAAAGAAATGCCAACAAGTCCCTGTCCCCATTTGGGGTATGAGCTGTGGGGCGCTAGAGACAAGAATCTCAGGGCCTCTCCAGGCTGCCAGGCCAGAGTGTAATAAATCTGTGAAATAACAAGCACAAAGGACTTCATAATCAATGACAGATTTTATTTTTGCTCTGGCAAAATCCATCCGTGGAGTTCACATTTTATGGGGAAATAACTACCCAGTCTGTGACTCCTCCTCAGCGCATAGTCTCTTTCTGAAAGTCAGGAAAACTTAGAGGCTCAGAGTCGGCCTCTCTGAGAACTGTGGCCAGGGAAAGCATGACTTCCCCTGGGCGGGACCCAGCTCTCCCGGTACTTCCTAGGGTGGTGAGGGCCATTCATTTCTGTTTTGCTAAAATACCCGTGACATGTGAATAAACCAGGATTACAGAACATTGTCTCGGACAGTAATCTGAGCCTGCATGGGCTCTGGCTTGATGAAATATGGTGCTCTCTGAGCAAACATGGGGATCGGTATTACTTCTCGTTAAAGCTGAACAGTGGGACTATTTAGAACTGATGCATGAATGCAGCCCTGTGGGGAGTGACAATTTGAAGGGAGCCGATTTGGAGAAGGGGGTGGTGTGTGTGTGTGTGTGTGTGTGTGTGTGTGTGTGTGTGTGCGCGTGTTTGAGTTGGCTAGGGCCAGCTAACTAAGAGGAGTCTGCTGGAGAAGCAGCCAAATAGACACTTTGGAAATTGCAACTCCTTTGGGGTTGTGTAGCCTCCTTACAACCCCCAATCTTCCTCAAAACCTTTGATGGCCCTCTTTGAGAGAGACAAAGCCTACATCCTCTGGCTGGCATTCAGACCTTACCCATCTGTCCTGTTTGTCTTGGTTGAGCCTTTTTCAATCTCTTCCTGTCCATCCTCTCATGCCCCAGAATTCAGAGAGTCCACATTGCTTCTCTCAGTCTCCTCCCAGCTCCATTCTCACTGCTTTCAGATGACTTCAGTGG